GATATGATCTTACCACCATTCGACGCGTCTCATCGAGAGGAATCCAATGATATATGGCTCGACTTTGCACGATCACTAGATGGCCGGCTATTCGATTTTTCGCATTTTTATAAAAAATCAGACTAAACTGAACTGAACCGCCGGTTTTTCGGTTCTAATACCCGAACCGAACCGAACCGAATTTTGAGCCGGTTTCGGATCGGTTCCCCAGTTTAGCCCAAACTGTTCAGAGCTTTAGTTTATAACTGTATAACAATATTACCTATTAAAAATTTAAATAAATGTCATCCAGTATTTCAAAGAAAGGAGATGGACTTCAGAAAATTCTATGCGTGAAAAAATGATTAATACTATTGTTGAAATTAGTGATGAGCTGGAAGCTGATGATTTTAAATTTTTATATGATGAAAACGTAATTGATATGGTTATTGATATGTCTCAATCATATGATCTAGATGTTGCTTTGAATATAGATATTGAATCACGAATTTTTAATATGGAACGAAGAGAACCTGAGAATGAAGTAATAGTCAATCAAAATAGACAAACTGTTGTATTAGCTCCAGAACGTGAAGATTTTGATATAGAGGCATTAATAGCTAAAGAAATGGATGATAATGAAAACTAATATTTTTAATTAATTTTTCGCAATTAACTTTTAGCATAATAATAATAATAATAATTGAGTATAATAATTACAAATTTATAATAATGATAAAAATAATATAATAAAATAAATAAATGCTAATTTTTCATAATAAAATAAATAAATAAATAATAAAAAAGTGGTTTTGGACTTTCGGCCTATAATAAAAATAGTTTCGGCCTATATAAAGTTTTGGCCATAGTTTCGGATTTCGGCATTAGTTTCAGACTTGAGTTTCGGAATTTCGGTTTCGGCCATACCTCTGGAAGGTTTCGGCCACAAGTATAACCCCGGGTATCTTGCAAAAATCGGGGTTTGACCCTGTACTAAACAAAGCCTAAAAATTCCGTTTTTTGCAAATATCTCACGATCTACCAGTCCAATTTGAACGATCTTTTTTTTATTTTGAAGAGCTCAATGAGAGCTATCAAACAAAAAAAATATGGCTCAAATCTGATCACTAGATCACGAGATAAATGTAAAATATCCCTCTGGGTACTATACAATTCTATGAAATTTTTCAAGGGGGTACTATGCATAGGGAGGGTGCTATGGCCCGCGATATACGGTATTCACGTTTAAAATTTGGTATTAAATAGTCTTTGAATTTTAAAATTAAATATAAACAATAATTTTAAAATTCAAAGTTAACGATCTCTGCATCCAGTGATTCGATTTTATGTCTTTATGCGGTTGAATTCAGCTCATAGAGAGAATTCCAATGATATGCATTTCATATCTGTAGCATCAATATTGACAGAGTTATTCACGTTTAAAATTTTATATTAAATTATAATTATAAAAATCACATGACTATGATGTAATTTCGACCATTTTGACTTTAATTTTGACTTTTGATCTTCCCAAGTTGAAATATTTCTACTTTTGGGCTTTAATTTTGACTTTATGTATAGTTGTTCCTGTAACTTATTATATTATTTTTATGATAGATGGTATGCACAAATGTACTTGCATGTTTATCATAAATCAAGATCTTGTATGTAAATATTTCTTCCAAATAATGCTGCTTTCATCTTGTGCAAAATTTCATATTGCACTTATATCTACACGTTGATATTAAGACTCAAAACAAACCATTAGTTATTTGGATTTATTAATAAATTATTCTTACATTTCCTTGAAAAATGCAACAAATATAACAACTTCACCAGAGAAAATATTTTTTAAACCTTTTAATTTGGAGTACTTAAAACAAATGAGAGCTAATAATAATGTAATGATAAATCTGGAAAAATCAAATAAAATTGATAAAAAGATGAGATATTCAACTGGATTTGGTATTTTTAAAAAAGCATTAAATTTAGCTATCTTTTTAAATTGTGATGATGAATTATTAGGTATTTTATATCAGTTTATTGATGATAAGCAAAGATTGATTTTTACAAGTACTAATAATAAAAATCCAAATTCAGAGATCTTTTCTATAACTGATCCTCTTGTAGTTCGAAAAAGAGGTGCTCCTTTCAAATGGTTAAAATCATCAACTAAGAGCAATAATAATACAGTAAGAAAATATAAAAAATAAGCATTGGTACCTTTAGATGAGAATTTACGATCTAAGTCATCTAGATTTATAGAAACACATAATAATTCTATTGCTATTGATAAAGAAAATGAAACTTTAATTGATACTCAGTTACAAGATGAAGGTTTAGCAAATAAGTATAAGTATAGAGTATGTGGTAGTTTTGAACATAATGCTCGTAACAAGAGAAAATGTCCATAACAGAATTCTCTATAACTGTTTAACGTATTGTAATTACTTCTATAATTTTAATATTGTAATGCTTTTTTTTATTATGTAATAAAATTGATTACTAATTTAATTCTTTTTATCGATTGTATTAAAAGTGATGGATTTAATTGTGTTGAAAATATTATTTGCGTTGAAAATAGAACTTAGGGTTAGTTTAGAGTTAGTTGCATATGAATATTATTGCGTTAAAGGTCGAACTTAGAGTTAGGTTAAAGTTAGTTGTATAGAAAGCTTAAAAACTTTTTAAAATTTACAAGTAAATGATTGCAATCATATTGTAAATATTACATATTATATCAATCATGTAATAGCAGTAATGATTACTGGTGGCAGTAATTAGAAAAATTCTCATTTTAATAGCAATTAAATATTTAATGATATTTTAAATTTATATTAAATAATTACCTAAAATATTTAACTATATATTAGGCTATATTATTTTTAGTAAATTTCTTCTTAAATCTATATAAAAATTAATGATGTTTATTATATAGGGTTTAAAATTTGTGCGCACCTGCGCATGTGCATACCCCCATGATATATTATATATAAAAGTCAAAAATGACATTCTAAACCCTTCATGGCTCATTAAGTAAAGTTGTAGAATAGGCAAAAATACACATAGTAAATAAATTTTTAAGGCTCTATAATATGTACGTGAGAGTTGCAGCATGAATATTTAAAAAAATCGGGATTTTACTAAAATCACGTGATAATTAATGATCGACAAATTTACTATATAAAATTACCAAAAATGGAGGAGTGCGCATATGCGCGAGTGCGCACAAATTTTATTTCCTATTATATATATATATATATATATATATATTATTTATTATAGATGCGATCTTGTATAATATCTATTATATTATTATAATATCAAGAACTATTATATTTATTTGTAATCTCTAATTATTTATTTTACCTTCAGAATTTAATTTAATTTTTTTTTTTAATTATTCTTTTACTTCTGTAACTTTTAATATGAAAAAAAAATATATAGATATTTTGGGATATTATTAAATTAAAATAATTACAATGAAGTTATAAACTTTTATAAGTATCCTGAAATATATTTGCAAATAATTATATTAGAATATATTAATAATATTTTTTTTTCATTATAATATTTAAAGTATTATTATTAATTATAGTATTTTGTCTATAATAATATAGTTAGCCAAAAAATTCAGCTAAAGGCACAGTAAATTTTCAGCTAACAACATCTAACCAAAATTTATGTTAATTTTGAATATTTTATTGATTCAACATCTACTATTTTCAGCTGAATATTTTTGGTTAAATACACTTTTTTTTAAATAATAGTGTGGTTAGCCAAAATATTAGCTAAAATATCCAAATAATAGTTATTGCTCATGTAACCTCCTAATTCACTTTATTATAGCAATAGCACTCTCTTCAAATATATAATACATTTGTAAAGTTTAAAATCAATTTAAACTTGTTTAATTGGCTAAATTAATGATTTTTAAATCCATAATTCTAGCCAAAATTTTCTTAATTCTGACTTAAAATGGTTAAATTGAAATTTCAGGTAAAATGTAATATCATATATATACAAAATAATCTTCAAACTAAATATGAAATATATAACTTCTTGTCAATCTCTAAGTATTTATTGAAATATTTTTTCAAATGTTTTTTGTTTTTTGAGTTGGATCTTAGCTATATTAAAAATAAAAATAATGCAAAAAAACTTAAAATTTGTCAAAGATAATGAATAATATAAGACTTTAAATTAAAACAAAAAATATTTTAAAAAAATAAAATAAATGTATATATATTTTTAAATACAATTCAAATTCCTTAAAAAAATTTTCCTTTTTTATTTTATTTGTATAATTGTATTGTTATAGTTTTAATGGTTAAATAAACTATTTATTAATTTAAAGAACAATTAAATATTAAAAATATTTCTTTTTTACAATTAAATTACTAAAAATCTAATACTGAAGTATGATTGGACAGAAATAAATGAGTTAAAAATAACAAATATTTTGTAGGTTTATTTAATAAAAAATAATAATGCACTATCTAAAAATAAGTATATAATATTATGTACTTCTTGTTTTCTATAATAAATAAAATTTTGTTATTATTTTATATTGATTGCTATTTGAATATTTCGGTTAACTACACTATTATTTAAAAAAAGTGTATTTAGCCAAAAATATTCAGTCAAAAATAGTTAGATATTGAACTAATAAAATATTCAAAATCAACATAAAATTTTTTCAGCTAGGTGTTATTAGCCAAAAATTTACTGTGCCTTTGGCTGAATTTTTTGGCTAACTATACTATTATTCCAATTCTTACATTTTAAATAAACCATTATTTTGTCTGAGATTCCATCATCTCTTTATAATATAACTTATAAATATTTAATTAATAAGAATATTTTTATAAATGATTTTAGGCAAAATAGTCATTCACTTATTTAATAATTTGTAAGTCTATAATATTATTATTCATAAATTATTAAATTTATTGTTTATTTTAAATTTAATTGTGTTTTAAAAGTAGCTCTGTTGTAACTATTTGAAGAAAAATATGTATGTATATTTCTTTACCTTATAAGTTATTCTTTATTTATTAAATATAAGCTTAGATTAAATCATATTAATAAGGACTTAAAAAAAACCAAATCTCATTTACATAATAAAATATAGCAAGTTAGATGTATTTTACCAGTTTATTTATATGTTTTTTTTGTTATTTAAATTTACTATATATTAATAATAATCCACTTTTTATTAGATATTCAATATTTTTAAAATTATTATACACAGGTCGAAAAGTGAAAAATCAGGCACCAATCAGGCACCAATCAGGTAACTGATTGGTGACTGATTGGTGACCGATTGGTGACCGATTGGCATTTTCGCCAAATACTGTCACCAATCAGGCAGTTTGCTAACTTTTGATCTAGTGATTAGAAAAAGATGAAATATAGCTCATTGGAATCGTCTCAACAAGACGAATCTAATGGTAGTAAAATTGCATCTCTAGGTTTAATAGTTAATAAAAAATTAAATAAAATATAAATGATACATTTTCATTTTTATATTTTACTTAATTTATCATCAAATAATAATACTAGAAATGCGATTTTACTACCATTAGATTCGTCTTGTTGAGACGATTCCAATGAGCTATATTTCATCTTTTTCTGATCACTGGATCAAAAGTTAGCAAACTGCCTGATTGGTGACTGATTGATGCCTGATTTTTCACTTTTTGACCTGTGATATGAAATCCATTCTGATATTAAGTATAGTCTAGTATTTTCATTTGGCATTTTTATATTAAAATAATTTTAAATAATATACTTATAAATAATAATTACACTGTATCTTTAATTAATAATTGTAAAGTGTGCTTATGCTAAACTATAAGTTCTTGAAGAATTTAGATTCATTTTAGAGTTTAGACTTATAGTTAAAATAGAAAAATAAGTATTAATTATCAGTTCTAAACTGAATCAATTAAGTTTAATAATAAGAGGCTCAGATTTAATTTAACTTATAATTAACTTATGACTTAATTTAATATAAAAAATTATTTGACTCAGAATTAACTAGATTTAACTTGACTTGAGATTTGATCCAGTTTGACTTAACTTATTTAAAGTATATGTAAATTGTAATACTCTCTATTCTGAACTCTCAAACAATAAATTCTATTAAATTGGTAAAGCTGTTTTTCCAAAATCATTTGATTTATTGTCAGAATTCTCAAAAATTTGACTTGATTTAATAAATGCACCAGCAATAAATCTTCAATATTTTGCCAATATGTCATTAGTATAACTTATGGTGAAGAAAAAAAATTTTTTTAATAATAATTTTGAAAAAAAAATTTTCATTATTCAATATGGTCTGATCATTAATCAGAATTCTCAATTCTGATTTGATCATATGTTCGACGAATTTTGTGATCAAAAATCCGAACAATCAAAATATCCAAATAATCCCACACCTGCTAACAACTTTACTTAATCTCCAAAGACTTGTTTCATTAACAAAAGTACCAAAATTACGCTGTAAAGTGAAAAAATCAACCGCGCGCCGCACAGTAATTTCCATGCAAAAATATACTATTGCAATTTGAGTGGTTCCATACCTGCTAAACAACTTTGTCTAAGCTATCTAAGCTAACATTACACTACAAAAATAAAAAAAAAACAAATAATTTCAAAACACTCAGCAATTTTGCTGCCTGGAATTTGCCAGGTTCGCGCCAAATCAAAAATAAATAAAACACGTGACAGTCGTGACACATGTTAATATTCAAATTAATATTACAAAATCTATAAAAAGCGCGTTTATTGTAAATATAAATTAACCATAGCTTTCTACACTCAAGCTTTTCGTGAAAAAGTGGAGACGAATTAAAAAGTCACGTAGGTAGAAAAATTTTATGTAACTATATGCTGAAGTTTCTCATGTCGGCCAGTCTCTGGCGGTGAGAACTTTCTTTGTGTTTTTGGATACTTAGAAGCCATAGCTTCGTGTCAGTCTCTGGTATTTCTTGGTGGTTACAGCCCTTATCAGTCAAATTAAATTTATAAACCCGGTCAGAGTAAACCTTTATTATTAAGAAAAAGGCAGCTAAGTGATAAATATAAAGAAATAAGTGGTGCTATCAAAGAGGGAGGGAGTGCAGATTTATTGGCGAGGATGTAGAGGACTGGTGAAGAAGTCTTTATCGGGGAACAAGCTGGGTCACCTTGTAAACCTGACCTTAAAAAATTAACAATGGATTCGTTCAAGTTGTATCGAGAAATGCGGCCTTTAATTATTTGAAGACCTAGTAATTACCCATTACGACCGATGATTCATCATTACTTAAGAAAACAAGGAGTGGAATCGCCAGTACAATTCTGCGCAAAGTTTCAAGAATTCGGCACGTGAAGATGCTTATCATAAATTTTACTACGCTGATGATACACATGAAGTTGATTAGATAATATCTCATCACGGGAATTTATTTTTGTCGCATGATAATAAGATTTTCTCAGCGCGACATATAACAAGAAGAGCAATATGTCCGTTTTATTTTGGAACATCTATCTTATTATTAACCACGATATATTCAGAAAGGTATATATATACCCTCTAACTTTTTCAATTTTCTCAAAACCCTTTATCTCTTTCTAAAATCATTTCATAATTTCAGAAGAATTAACATCAAAATGTTATTATCACTAAATTGCTTCAAAAACTCGTTTCACGGAAAAAGTTGGCGAAACTTGCACAAATGACAACGGTATTGGTATTTCCTTTGAAGACTTCACCATTTCAGATTTCAAAGAGCAACTCTCTCGTAAGCAAAGTGTAAAAGATATAGTTCAATATTCTGAAAATATGAATCTTTTGCAAGTTGAACTTGACCTTGGGGAACTTGAAAATAAAATCAAAGGTGAGACTATACGCACGGGGATGGATCCTTTTTCGTTATTTGCTGATTATTTTAATCAAATTGACAAAGAACTTTAAAAAGGATATCTTCACATCATCATACAACCACTGACCCTCACCACTGGTAAGTGCTCCCAATGTTTACCTCTTGAACAAGAAATTTCCGTTTAAAAATACGTAATACCTGCACTGTATCATATTCTTTCCTATTAATTACCTCCATATCTCTAAATGTCTCAATATTTACCTCCTCATTTAATATATATATATATATATATATATGTAAATTGTTATTGACCTTCTTGGCGCTTTCTCCTTTTTTAGAGACTTCATAATAAGAAGGTTGTCCATCGAGACATTCGTTGGGATAATGTTGTAAAGTTCACAGATGGTAAATGGTTGTTAATTGATTTTGAGAAAGCTGCCAGAATTGGAGATGAAAGGTATAGTAGTAATGGCAATCGAACTGTTTAAGCACGCGGTTAAGTTTATTAACTAATTTTTAATATTATTGTTATAAAGAAATACATTGAGAATTACAGCTCCAGAATACGAAAATGGGATCGATATATGTTGAACATCGGGTGATATCTGGATGATCGGGAAACTTATGGATAAAGTAAAATGTACACTTTCTGAAAGGACTCAAAATTTTTCGTGATAGGTTGATGATTGAAGTTTCTAATAACGACCAACTGAAATTGATGCTTTAAATGACCGATTGGTTTGAAGAAATGGATAATTTAATAGAATGGAGATAGAAATTTTTCCCTTCCACTCTATTTTCTGATTTTTAAATGCTTTATTGTTTTTTTATGCTAGTCTTTTTCGCAATAGCTAAATTTATATAATATAATACAATAAACAATTGCTTAAACAAATAAAAATCTATTATTTTATAAAATGGGAAAATAAATGACCAAATTATTGTAGCGGACATTTAAAGGAGGAATCACTCGCCAATAAAAGCTCAATACTACTTAATAATAATTGTTTAGATATCGGCCTCACATTAAGAAATAAAACAAAGTTTTTGCTACGACACTGCGCGAAACATCAGAATTAAATAAGTATTATAATGTTATCCTACAATAATATTTGGGAATCATTTTCATCTCACAATAAATAATTGAGTCTATCATCAAAGATAACACAAAGGTATACGCAATAGAATAACGATGTATGGGAAACTAACTCGTAATATATGTAACACTTCTCAATAAAATTGCGCAGAAAAAACGGAACAGTACTCAGCAATCAAGGAATAATCTGCCCTCTTGTTCTTCGAACTGCAAGGTGGAAGATAAAAAAATTTTAGAAGGGCCCCGGCCGAAATTTTCAGTCACGAGATTTTCAATTAATAAATTTTTACCTGCAGATCTTTGATCCAACGCATGCAGAACATACTATAAACTTTAAACCTGGGAAATGCTTTATTATATATTTGAATACACACGTGTACGAAATAGGGAAATACTATTTTTTTCTGATGTCGGGCTCGTCAAAATTGCGCAGAAGGAAAGGATTAATCATAATAAATTTTTTTTTTTATTTTTTTACAGTCTCCAAAAAATAAATAAATGAACAAATGAACAAATGAATGAATGAATGAATGAATAAAAACGCAAAGCAAACTTTACACCATACTAGATATAACACGAGAAGATTATGGGAATATAAAAATATTTTAAATAATTTTAATTAAAATAAAAAATAAAGAGAATATAAATATTTAATACTTGGATAAGCTAAAAAAAAAGGAATTTCATATATAAAACAATGAGTTAGTGATAAACCCGTAAAACATCTAATACACTACAATATATATTGAGAGAAAAAATAAAATAAATAATTTCAAACAAAAAAAAAAAATTTTTAACATATATACAATTCATATTAATAATAGTAGCATAAAAATTTTTTGCCCAAAAGCAAAATAGAAAATAGTAAAAATTTGAATTATTGGTTTGAATGGGAAAGGGTAAATAATTGAAATATGAAATGTATACTTATGTATGTATGAGTTTGACATAATATTTGTTACGAAATAATACAAATATTGATTATTATTAAACGAATGAATGATCGTACATAAATTTTGCCATCGATAAAATGAAATTAACTTCAAAAGTGAGTAGGTTTGCCAACGATATTTGAGATATTCGAATCTTGCCATATACAGATTTGCCATTTCGATTAAACGTAAGCGAAGATAATTAATAAGCGAATGGATCATTCTTTAGGGGAAAGTAGATCCATTAAAAAATTGATTTGTAAATAAATTATTTGTGTTTTGCATGGGTAATCGTCTTACGCGATTCAATGTATATATATTAATTGTTTCATGTCTTAACCGTCGTTGATTTCGGCGTCTACGAATAGCAAAACTAGCGTAGGACGATGGATTTTTAAAAGTTGTATCTGAAAAGTCGCAAGAAGTGTTTAAGTTATCGCATGGAATTTTTGAAGGATTATCCATTGTAAAAATTATTTATATTTTTTAAAATAAATTTAAATTTTAAAAGTGTTCTCTCGAAATAGTTTATTGAATTTTTTTTTTTTTTCAAAATGAGAACTGAATCAAAATAATCTTGTAGTCTCTTTTTTTATATATTTATACATAAATATATATCATATTAAAAAGAGACTTTTAAAAAATAATTTGGGAAAGAAAAGTGGTGAAAACAGGAAAATAAAAGAAATTTTTGAATATTTGCGTTAGACGCTAAAGAGAGTTATTTTATATAAAAAAATTAAATTATTTTTTTCTGATCCTCTACGTTTCCTTACTTTTTACTAAATCATTGATTTTGCTAAGTTTCTAATATAATATATATAAATAAAAATGATTTTTATTGTTATATATAATATAATATATTATATATAATTTCAAACGTTATATATCTTTCTAGTTTACATTTCTGTTTACCAAAGCGCAAGTTTGCATGTGCTTTTGCTCAATAAGTAAATTTCACAATTATCTTGCTTTTAATGATAATTGAAAAAATTGTTATGTAATATTTGATTGTATTATTTATTTCATTTAAGTTTTCGAATATTACCTTTTTATTTTTAAAATGATTTTTTTTATCTCCTATAGTGTCAATATTTGATATTTGTTTTGTTGTGTACAAAATTGATGTACTAAGAACCGGAGTAAGGGTTACTTTCCTTTTTCTTGTTTTCCTCTTTCAACATTTTTTACAATTTTTAACAAGAAAATTGTTTAAAAAAAGTTAAAAAGTTTTAAAAGTGCCTAATTATTAGTAAATCATTTTAATCATTTTAATTAGTTTTCTTCAATTTTGAATGTCAATGTCAGGCATAAAAAAGAAATCAGTTTCAGGTGACCACTAATCAGGCAACCACCGGCATCGGCATTGGGCTGGTATTTGAAAAATATGCGCAAGAAGATGTAAAAAAAAAAAAAAAAAACTTAACCAACTATTTTTTTTTACAATAATAAAAGGAGAAAATCATTTTAATGTAATAGCCGAAAACAAATTAAAAATAAAATAACAAATATTATGCATAAAAATAAAATTTAAAATTAAACGCGAACAAACGTTAACATCACACCCTTTTTTTTTCCCTATTATACTATTAAATGGTCATAAAAGATTCGACTGAAAAAAAAAACTGTATAAAAAAAAATTTCATTTACGTTTACGTTATATTACGTTATATTACGTTATATTATATATAATGATTTTTTTTATTATTATGATTAATCATATTTCATTTATATGCACAAAACTAGTCATAAAGTTTGTGATCGACATATACTTTATTATGAAAAAAATTTTTAAGTATAAATACCTCTCCCAAATATTACATTTCCTTTTTCTGCTTTGTTATATTTTCATTTTACAGTAATTTTTTTTTTTTTGAAAGTTTTGAAGTTTTAAACTTCTCCTTTCAAATTTTTTTTAAAAACTCCTTTAATACAAAAAATTTTCATTAGTTCCTTTTTTATGTGATATATATTTTTATATACTGTATATATCTAAAAAAAACAAATTTTATATATATAAAAAGTAAAATGTTCGATAAAAACTTCTTTTTTTTTAATGATTATTCGTTGTACTGAAGTACGGTCCGAAATGCTTACAATTCCCACGATTGGCAACAACAAAAACGAGATACACTTAGAAAGTGTTTTGATTTAAAACATAAAAAACAATTCGATTCGCGAAAAAAAAAAATTTCTAATTTTGTAAAAAATTTTGAACACAGCCGGAAAGGACAAATGTTTAGGAGAAGGAATGATCTACATGGTATAATGTTTATTGAATGATCCAATAGATTAATTAGGGAGCGGCTTAGCAACCAGTTTATTGAGCTACACTTAAAAAAAAACTTTTTGTATAAAATCTAATTTTTTTAAAAAAAATAAAATAACAAAAATGGAACAACCATCAGTAACTTATTGTGCCACTCAATCTGTTGATTATCTCAGTCAAACTCATAAATGGACCGATACTGATGTTATCTCTTCTTATAAAGAGATTTGCAAACAACTTGATATTGTTCAAGAAAAATTACGTGAAGAACGCGAACAAAAAGGTCAAAGAAGATAAAGAAAAAGTTCTTCACATTCCAAACAACTATCTCAAAAAGCTGCTCTACAAGCACAACAATCTCAACGTTCTCAACGTGGAAGAAATGACAATGTTGCTACTATAGAAATATTGGAAACATTAGCAAACAACTCAAACAACAAAAAGAAGAATCTGCTTTACGCGCAGAAGAGAAGCGTTTAATTCGTATGAAGAACGCTTTATGGAAGCGTATGGGTCAAACTCATGATATTGTTCAAGAGGAATTGCGTGAAGAACACGAACAAAAGGTCAAAGAGAACTAGGAAAAAGTTCTTCCCATTTCAAACTACTATCTCAAAAAGCTGCCCAACAAGCACAATAATCTCAACAATCTCAACGTGAAAGAATGGAACAACCATCAGTCGCTTATACTGCCAAATGGACCGATACTGATTTATCTCTTATTATAAAGAGAATCCATATTCTGATGTCTGTATCAAAAAACGAATAAACCTATGGTTGTTCCATATGAATTTTGACAATAATGTGTCCTTGGAACTTGAACTCATTGTGTTATACGCAATGAAAATGATCTCCGACGTTAGTTCAGTAAAATTCGTGATAAAAACAGATCAATCAGGTTACTTAAAAATCGTTGGTCAGTATACCCTCGGGATGTTGTAAGTCCTTGGTTACCGATAACTCCTTTATAATTGTGGAATGGAATGAGAGAGAGATAACGAGTTTGAATATAGACAAATATGGTAAGTACCTGATCTTTTCCTCGCCTACCAACACAGGACCAATATCCACGAACTGATGCACGCGCTTGGGTCCTACCATGAACGCTGTCGTCCAGACCGTGACAAATATTTGACCGTTATAGCTAAAGAAAATTATACGGATTTTGGAAAAGTGTGTGAGATGGATGTGGTGTGTTTTGGTCCGTATGATCCAGAATCAATCATGCATTATTCCCTGGGATGTTATCCCCAAGGACGATGTATACAAGCGAAGCCAGGGACGGAAAGAACAAATGCTATGGGTTTGTATATGACTCCTTTCGATTTGTTTTATACAGTCAGCTTCGTCTAATAAAAAATATCTTTCCACAATTCAGGCCAACGTGTAAGGTTAAGTGCTTATGATATAAATGCACTTAATGCACTTTATCTTAGCTCCCAAGTTAAGGAGGAGTTTAAAAATGAAAGGTAACCATAATTTATAATTCGAGCTTTATATTCTATGAACAGTATCCGAAATTTTACTAACTTTGTTCCTTATACAGTGACACCTCTCTAAGTGCGCTCCCCTTGGGACCGTAGTAAAAAAATAGTAGAATGGAAGGTGAGGTATCACTGTAATTTGATTGTTGTTCTTAATATTTTTCGTATAGCTGAAAGAAGATTTAGAAAAAGAAGTGGAAGGAGGAATTGGAGAAAGAGAATAGGAAGAACAGGAGGAAGAAGAAAACAATTATTTACTTGTAAATTTTAGAATTTTCATTATAATAGGTTCTTATCAAATTTCATGTACATTTTATAATAGAATACCAGTAAAAATTTTAATTACTTTTAAAGCTACTTCTTTTTTCTTTTTTTGAATTCTTAACCCATGAAAAAATGATTATAACTATTAAATTTTGAAAATATTTTAAATAATTTGAAATATTATACAGAAAATTAATTACTGGTTGAAAATTTTTTTAACCAATAAAGACGAAATCAGCAAAAGCTCTATAAAAAAAGATGAATAAATTTGTAATCATAATTTTTTTAATCTAATTTTAATTATACAGTATTAATTATTATTCCCTTAAATTCATTGCCAATTTTTTTTTTATGATTATTTGATTATTTAAAATTTCTTTACCTGCTAAAACAAATGATTCGACACATAAAATGAACTTACTACTAATACATAATATATAAATTGAAAAATACTGGAAAATAGAATGAAAGCTAAAATATGCATCAATATGTTTAAGATTTTGTGCAGTTTTCTCCCATAATTTTTCTATTGCACTTAAAACTTTTCTGGCAAATTCAAAAATTTTAGTTTAAGCTTAAGGTGACATGGTGCTTTACTTCAAGAAAAAAATAAAAAAAATTATTTTTATATCAGCTTTTAATAAAAAATTCAAAAATGAGGTATTATATATACTGTATATATATTAATTTAAAAACTTATTTTATATTTAAAATATATGTAAAAAAAGAAATTTTTTTTAATTAAAAAAATTTATTAGATTTACCTTTTGGCAAAGATTTAATTGATTTTATTAGCAATATTTTGGGAATTAGAATTCTTATAAATTCTCTTTAATTAAATTTATAAGGCTAGATTCTTAAAAAATCATTTTTACTTTTAAGAATCCTTAATAAAAATTTTATAGAGTTCTTAAAAATCCATAAATCTTTAAAGATTTTTAAAAAATTCTATAACCAATTAAGGATTTATTTTATTTATAAAGAATCTTTAAAAATTTTAATTTTTAAAACATTACTGATATAAATAAAAAATATTATATTTAACAGTTTATTTTTAAGAAATAAAATTAATCTTATTTTGTTTTTTTCTCAAAAGTCAGTTTTTTTAAATATAAAACTAGTAATAATATATTAATAATTTTCTATATAAATGGCATTTTAAATTATTAATACTATTTTCTTTAAATATTAAAATTTCATTATTTTAAAATTATTATAATAATAAGATTGAATATCTAATATAAAGATTATATAGACTTTTAGCTAAAATCACTTTTACTTACTAAAAGTCAAAAAATTAGTTTTTACATATATTTTAGTATTTAATAATCCAATTTTGATAAACTTTTTTTAAATTGTAAAATTTACAAAATGAAAAAAATAGTTTATTAAAATTGAATCATTTAAATATTGAGAAAATCATATAATTCTAATTTTTAACTTTTTAAAAAAATAGACTAATTATTATTTTAGAAATATTTAGATTTTATAGTAATAAAATTCTATTAAAAGAATTTTAATTTATATTTATATTGAATTTCTTTTTAAAGAAAAATATATTAATAATTAATATCATATAAAAAGTACATATTACAAACTAAAGTTTTGAATTTCCAGTTTAATTCTAATTTTTAGTTCTAATCTATTTTATATATAAAATTTTGGTTTTAAATTTTTAATGAAAAAATTTCAGATTAAACTTTTAGTTGATTTTCAGTTTATTTCAGTTTTATTTCAAATTAAAAAATGGAATTGAAACCATTTTTTTTGAAACTTTTTAAAACTGAAATCATTTTTGAATAAAATTTTTAAATATAATTGTAAAAATAGTTTCAGTAAAACATAACATATTTATAATTAAGAAATAGTAAAAATATTTTTTAAAGTTCTCTTTAATAAAAATGCTAAAGATTCTGAAAATAATGAAAAAATAAAGTTTGATTTAGTAAATATTTCAGTAGAATTAAAATAAAAACTAACATACAAAATATAATACATCAATTTTTATTCTTTTACTTTACATTTTTACAATTTGCTTTTATTTTTTAGTAAAAATTGGTTATATCAATATTATTGATCAATTTCAATAATATCAAAAAAAAGTAGTCAAAAGAGCAGTGAAAAAAGGTTTAAATATGATTATATTTATTACAAACTTTTATAAATTTTCTGAAGCATGTTTATAAATAATTATATCAGAATACTATATATTATAATCTTTTTTTCATTACATTTAAAGTATTATCATCAATTATAGTACTTTGTTAATTATACTCATATTCTATGTTTATAAAATGAGAGTAGAAAAAAATAACAAACGTCAATCTATACATTTTAAATGAACTTCTATTTTTACCTAAAATTTCATTATCTTTTTATAATACAACTTATAAACATTTAATTAATAAGAATATTTTTATGAATTGTAAAAATTCAGATTTGAGTAGAGTAATTATATGTTTAATTAATGATTTGTAAGTTTATAAAATTATTATATAATTTATAAATTTATTACTTATATATTGTTTATTATAAATTCAATTATATATTTATATTCAGTATATTGCTCTAATAAAACTATCTGAAGATGAACATATTTATATATTTCTTTATCTGATAAATCAACTATTATTTACAAGTTTAAGAAAAAATATAATCTTAAATTATACTAATAAGAGTTTAAAAAGAAAGGCTAAATCTATTTTACACAGTAGACAGTATATTGATTTTAAATTCAAAAATTAAACTACTAAGTCATATACTATTGAAACAAAAGAAGAATAAACTAAAAGTATAATTAAAGTCCAAAAATTGATTAATTTATAACTTCGTACTAAGAGAAGTCTAGATAAAACTAAGATATTTCTAAATACTTGTAATATATAGTATATTTATACTTTTATAATATATTTATTAATTTCTATAATAACTAGAAAAGTTAATAGAGTTGTTATTTATAAAATTGCAATATAACAAATTATATTATTTGTAGTTTTTTTTAACAACTAGAATTATGGTTAATAAAATTACAATCTTACTAGCTGAATTAACAATAGGTCATTTAGCTGTTTTAGAATAAGTATACTTTTCTTTGTGATTATAATAAGGTATTTTGCTTATTACTTTTATAATAACAGAAGTGGGTTGGAAAAATTTTGAAAAATTACAAATATCAAAAACATTCAAATAATGAATCTAGGACCCCGGACATCACATATATAGCTCACATTTGAGTTTTAGCAAATTCAATCAAAATTAGGTTAAACTCATAATTTTAGATAGAGCAAATTGATTGAAAATTAATTAATCAGTCATAATTATGAGTTTTAGCAAATTGTATTGATTTTACAAAGTCATATTTTATATTTGAGCAAATTGGTACTTTTTTTAAATTTAACTTATCCTTTTTTTTTAACTTTATAAATAATATTTTTAAAAATATTAGTTTCGGGGTCCGGGTTATATTTTGGCCAAAATTAAGTATAATTCCGGCCAAAATTAAGCATAATGCGGGCCAAAACCCGTCCGTTTAGTTTCGCAACATTTTATTTTTTAATAATTATTTATTTAATTTATTATTTTTATTAATTATTATTTTATCTATAATCTACATATTTTAATTATAAAAATTGGCAGTTTAATTTATATTAATCATTTATTTTTTTATTGATAACAAAAGAAAAGATTATTAACTCATATTTTGAGTTTTAGCAAATTAGTATAGATTTGAAATGTGATAATTTGATTTTTAGCAAATTAGGTCTATTTTAGCAGGAGCAAAAAGTACTTAAATTCATGTATGAGTTATATATGTGATGTCCGGGGTCCTATGAATCTATATTATCTACATAAGTATTTTTTATGTGTAACCTTTCAAAATCTTTGCAAACGAAAAAATTTATTCATTATAGTTAGTTCAGCTATTTTATTTCATTATTCACTTACATTAATATAAATTTACTGTAAAATTTTTTAGCAAAAAAATGAAAACCCTTACTCCTAATTTATTTTTACAGTTTAAAGCTAAAAATCAGATGTCTTCTAAAGAAATAGAGTAAAAGAAACATTAATAATATGCTTTCTAAGATAAAAAATAAAGAAATTTACAGTAAGATAATCTAAAATAATTTGAAATCCGTGATGTTTACCTTTGTAACCCAAATCAAATTCAAATCCAGATAGATACTTTTTAAAGAAAAATGGAGTAAAGGAATATTAATAATGATACTAAAACAAAAAATAAAAAAATTTATACTTACTTTTATAATCCAAACTGAAATACAGATTCAACAGGATCTTACTTACTTTTTCTAAACTTAAGGTAAAAATTTATATATAAAATTTGTTAAAATTCAAAGAAAATTTATTTATATTACATTATTATGATTTTTTTTTTTTTAACCAATTAACTAATAGAATTTAAGTAATTCTTAAAGTAAGGTTTATATAAAAAAATTTTTACAGTAACATCTATTAGTAGTAAGTGGGTCTTGTTTAAGTAGATGTTCTCTAAAGAAATGGAGTAAAAAAAACATTAATAATATTTTTAAAACAAAAAATAAAGAAATTCACAATTTGTTCATTTTTAATTCAGATAATTTATTTTTTGATCAGATCAGATAATAGATTTATTAGAGTAAAGTTAGGGTCTAATCATCCATTCAATCTGTTATTTTATCTGATTACATAATGTCAATTACAGGTATATAGATCATTTCCTTTTTTTGATGATATTCGTTCTACAAAAATATTTTTTCTAAAATTGATCTTATTGATTTTAAAAATTCATGTAATATTCGATCTAAAAAGAAAATGATTGATATAAATCATGTAATTTGACCAGATAACCAGATTTACATTTTTTACCAGAGTCTACCTTTACACTAGAGTATACTTTTATTCTAATTACAATTGAATATGTGTATTAGAAAGGGAGATTTGATAATTTTTTTTAAGGAACGTTTATTAACGTTTCCTTTCTTTTTAATTTTTAGAAAACGGCCTTGGGATAACTCAGAAAGCTGAACAGGCCGTAGTATGTGTGTGAGACAGTGAGAGGGGTTCATTAATTTTTTAAGGAACGTTTCCTTTTCTTTGTTTATAGGATTAAATCATTGTAGAATTAATTAAAATTTATAGTTATTAATAATAAAATTTTTCCAGTTGTATAAAATTTAACTAATTAGCATTGTTATTGATATTATTTTATATATTATAAATGATTTCTATGGTTTTTTTATTTAGTAATAAAATACAACATAAAATATAATAACAGCAGGTCAAAAAAAAAAATTTTTTTAATAAAAATCAGGTAGGTTGGATCGGGTCAGGTCAAGTTATTTTTATATTCAACCCAATCTGAAAAAAATGAGACAGGTCGGGTTAAGTCAATTACCTGACCCTACCTGACCTGTTCGGAGTTCTATTTGGAAAGTTAGGCCAGAATTGTCACAAACAAAATTACATTCCGTAGTTTTGATGACAGATGGAAGTTTTTCTTATACCTGTAACCTTTTAATATCATATGGTATTTCATGTAGACATTTTTATAGAGTTCTTAGGAAGAGTTCGCAAGCAAAATTTCATATTTCCTTAATAAATCAGCACTGGTATCAAGATTCAAAGTTAAATATTGATGATAAAGATATAGCTTTATTAGATGTTATATCAATTGTTAAAGATCATAGTTCTTCAGCAGTGGTTTGTGAAGAAATCAATTTTAATTATATTCATCAACAAGTTTATATAGAAAAGCTTCAAGGAATCATTTTGGCAAAATTAAAATATGGAAAAGCATTTGGTTTCGCAAAAAAGGCTTTGGATTTAACACAAAAATTAGATTGTTATAATGAGTTGAATGGATTACTCCAAACATATATTGATGAAAAGCAACAAGAATTACTTTGTAATCAAACAACTGATGAAAGTACAAGAAAATATTGAATGTTCTAATCCAGTAACTTCAAGACGGCGTGGACGATCCCAGGTCGATACTTAAGTGAAGGAGAAACTTTAAGACAGAATAAGAAACAAAAGAAAACTGAAGGCAACTTAGAAGTTAATGGAAATGATAAGAAGGAAAGAAAGTGTAAAGGATGTGGGGGTACAGGTCATGATTTGCGTAATTGTAAAAGAAGAATCCTTAGCGAGAAAAATTGATGAATTATAGTTGAAACTAAAGTAAAAGGATTTTTAGTGAGAATAATTAAGGAATTTATAATTGAAATTGCATTGTAAAACTGTAAAATTATTATGTATTCATATTTAAACTTTTAAATTAACTTTTAATAAAATTTATTTTCAAAACATCGCAATTATGCCTTGATCACGTGAAAAAATTTCATAAATAAATTACAGCTCCAAAAATAAATAAATGAATAAATGGATAAATGAATAAATGAATGAATGAATAAAAACGCAAAGCACACTTTACACCGTACTTAGATATAACACAAAAAGGTTATGGAATATAAAAAATATTTTAAATAATTCTAAGTAAAATAAAATATAAAGAGAATATAAATATTTAATAAACTAAAAAAAAAGGAATTTCATATATAAAACAATGTTAATACACCATAAATATATTGAGAGAAAAAAAAATAAAATAAAATATTTTCAAAAATTTTTAACATACAGTATATACTTAATTACTTATACAAAACAATTCATATTAATAATAGTAGCATAAAAATTTTTTGCCCAAAAGCAAAATAGAGAGTAAAAATTTTTATAATGTAAAATTTACACTTAACGTAAAAATAGTCTTAGTATTTGTTTTTGTTGATCATATATACTTAGAGTTGACATAATATTTGTTACTGTTGATCATATATTATTGGATAGGTTTGCAGATTTTGCGATTTCGACTAAACGTAAGCGAAGATAATTAATAAGCGATTGATTCATTCTTCAGGGAAAAGTGGATCCATTAAAAAATTGATTTGTAAATAAATTATTTGTGGGTTGCATGGGTAATCTACTTATGCGAATCCATATATACATATTAATTGTAATATGTCTTAAACGTCGTTGATTACGGCGTCTACGAATAGCAAAACTAGCGTAGGACGATGGATTGTTAGAAGTTGTATCTGAAAAGTCGCAAGTGTTTAAGTTATTGCATGGAATTTTTGAAGGAGCACGTTCGTGATTTGTTGGTGGTTGTTCATTATCCATTTTAAAAATTATATATATTTTTAAAATTTCTTGAAATAAATTTAGAAGTGTTCTCTCGAAATAGTTATTAATTCTTTTTTTTTTTTTTTTTTTTTTCTTTTTTTAATTTT